GGCAGGTCCATCTTGGAGCCGGCTGGCATTGGCTCTGTCGGACATGGGGAAAGCCTCTGGCAGCTTCTCACAGAAGCCACCCCTGCAGCCCCCCTTCTCTGCTACCAAAACCTTGCCGCACAAACCCAATACAACTTAGGCCTTCTGAGTTGATATGTGTCTCTGACTAAGAGTACCAATTACAGAAAAGCGCTTTAGTTGTGGAATATAAAAGCAGAGTAGATATCTTCATGATTTCTTTAAATCTTTTCAAGGAATGGATTTATTTGGGTTTTTTCCTTACGGTTCTATTTGACAGTTAAGTCAATTTAAACTTGGAGTATTGCCAAAATCCACTGTCCTGTTAGTGTCTTCCTTTGTGCTGCTGGCATTAGGGATCATTGTGTTAGAAGGTGATGCGGCTGGAAAACACAAGTACGCTGCCCGTTGTTCCTCTGAGCGGTTTTCATCTGTGTGTTTCCTGATCCGAGCTGCTGTATGGCCCTAGGGTTGGAGGTGCTCGGGCAGGAGTGTCTGAAGAGGAGACTCTTCATCGCAGCGAGTACTCAAGTTGGCTTAGAGCAACTGTCAAACCACAGCTGTAACGTCGCTAAAGAAAGCAGTTTGTTAGGGTTCATGTAGTCATAAATACCCTAGACTTGTGTAGCTGGATTGTGCCCTTTGCATCTGAAAACTGCCATGAAAAATAGGAAATGCATTTGTGATTGCATCGTGCCAAAAGAGTTTAAAAGTTTATTTGATACGTGCTGTGGCTGTGTAACTATGATTACGCTTGTTTGTTTGTTCCTTATGATCCAGGACTTCAAGATGACAGGAAGAGAGTTTCTTGAACTAGATTCTCCGCAGCAAAGACTATTTTTGGAAAGACTTAAGCGGATGGAAGTCATACAAAAGACACTCAATGAGCTTCCTAAAGCAGATCAGTAAGTGCTGGTAAAATAAAGGAAGATAAGTGCATCAAACATTTCAAGTCTTTTGGACGCTTTTCTTTTCCCTTACTCTTGTATTGCAAAACTTCCTTACAGTTACAAAAATATTTAATTGTGAAGATGCTTATTATTGTCCAGAACAGAAAACTTGTTTTGTGTTTTTTAAATATGGTTGGTTCACTGTTATCTCTGGTCCTGCTCAGCTGGTTTCTGGCATGTGCTCCCCAGTGCTTAAGGCTCTGGGACAGCTGATCAGCCCTGACTGGCTCTGAGCATTCATACTGTCCTGCGCTAGAGCTAATAAATCTTCTAGGAAACTGAAATGTTGGAGAGCATAAGGCAGATAGTCCTGTGGTTATGCAGGAGTCATCTTGACTCCCGCAGGGCTGGCCTGGGGCCAGAACTGAGTGAGCATCAACCTGCTGCCTCCTGCATTTCATTCTGCGCTGCTCTCCGTTTCAGGAAGGCGAGACTGAGGTATCCAGGTGGTGGTGGTGGACGAGTCAGCCGGCGTCATGCAGGCTCGCCAGCAGGGCTCTGTGCAGCACAAAAACAGCTAAATGCCTTCTGGGCCTCACAACCAACCTTTTTGTGTTTTGTGATACTGCATTTCACTGCAAAACATTGCTGAGCCTGAGCTGGTTCTGTAAGGAGCTGTTTGCACATGTGTATCATCTTGGGTAAATTCTGTATAAATAAGAGGAATTGGGAAGCTTCTCTTTTTTTTTTTTTAATAGAACTAAATTGCTGCCTAAACAAACTGCTGGCAGTAACACAAGGCCCTCCCACACAGGAGAGGAAGACCACCAAGGCTTTATTCCTCCCATTACAGTCAGTGGGGCAGCTTTGTGTAGGGTAGCAGATTCAACTTATAACCCTTCTCCTTCCCCAGAAGAGCTGGGGAGCTAAGAGGGAGGCAGGTACCTCAGTGCTGATGTGGTAACGTCTTGATTGATAGAAACTGTGGTACTTGGGGACTGCTGGGCCTTGGAAAGAAATAGCTGCCAGGGGTGCGTGCCTTCGTTTGAAACTGCCCTGGCAGGACTTAAAGTTTGTACGTCCAGAGGGGAGGTCAGTGATGGCTGGAAGGGAAGAGGAAGCATGCTGCAGGCAGACTGACAGAGTTCCTGTTCACCAAAGCTCTTAACACTAGGAAGCTAGTACTTAAAAAACCCAAACAAAACAAACAAAAAAGAAAAAAAAAAACAAACCCAAAACCCTTCCACCCTCCCTTTCTTTCCTTTTGTGCAGTGTAGCAGTTCTGCACATCAGTAAGCCCGAGCAGGTTCTGCTGGTCCTGGGTACATTCATTTGCTCTATTTTGGATTCTTAAATATGCTGCTAAATTTTAATCTCTGTCCTCCACATTTCTGTATATGCACGCACGCGTTTCACTGCCTATGATGGTAAATGTACCAACAGAATGAAAGAGCTGGTTTGCAGCAACTGTGCTCTGGGGACAGTCCGTGAATGACATCCGGTATTGGGAGAACGGTGATTTGAAAAGCAAATTTCTTTTTAAAACAAAAAAATACCCAAAACACAAAAAAAAGAAACATACCTCTCTTGCCCTTATTTAGGAGCTATCTGACCAGTAAAGTTCTTTTGCTACGTAGTGTTAGAATTGAATTGCTAGTAGCTTATTTTCATGTTTGAAAATCTGGTGTGTACCAAGAATGAAAGTATTTTCTTACTCAAAATGAGAAATAGTTGCTGTCATTGATGTCACATGTTTTTAATGTTCTAGGTTTTGCAAGATTAGCACCTACATCTCTGAAGTCTTTTTTTTGTATGATTTGTCAGTGCTTAGTGTTACTCTAAGCATTAAAATGTAGAAAAATTTTAAGTAGGTAGATATTTAAAAATCATGTGTTTTAATTGCTAAATGGTTTAGAGATCGTCAGACTTGATAATTTTGCAAATAAATACGACATTTGGCCTAGCATAAATTTTGTGACCGGTTAAGCATTTTATTTTCTTTGGGGCTATAGCGATAAATCCAATTATGACGCATTTTAAAAATACACTTTTAACATAATAATATTGGTGCAGCCTCAGAATCGGAGTGGCTCCCAGTTAATTGCTTTGCCTGGCAATAGTTGTCATTCTGGGAATTTTAGATTTGTGGAAACCTAAAGCAAAGAGTTGTTTCCGCTGATCAGCTGACCGTGCCAGGTATAATGCTAAGGTAATGCACGGCTTCCTTCTGCGAGTCAAATGAAATAAATCACACGCTGCTCGCCAGGCTTGTAAAATTGGCAGGCTTTCCCGTTCCCTCTCTTGTGTTACCTGCTGTGATGGAACGTACTCAAATGGGAACTGTTTGTCAAGATATTAAATGCTGACTGTCTCTGCCCGGACTTTGTTCTATTCTGCCTTCACCATATTACAGATTGCAACAGGAGCAGCTGCTCTAAACCGTATGTTAAAAACATGGCAGATAACAGAATCCAGTCCCTCTGTTATCCAGGGAAAAATAAAGCTCCAGTTCCGTAAGCCAGTAGGTAACCTTCAACTAGCGTAACCTCCTTGCAAGGTAGGACCTTAAATTCACATGTTCCATGCAGACAAGGAAGGCTTACAGCCCTTCAGCCTACAGAATCGCTGCAAAAGATCCGCCAGCAGCCGCTGAGATCGTTACTGCAAGATCTCAGGTGCCAGAGTTGTCCCACCCGATCTGTTCTGTAAGCTCCTGTGTTGAAACTAAGTCTATGCTTTTGGGTAAGCAGGCTGGAAACAAGGCTGATTGCAGGTGCTAGCTGTGATTATATATATATTTTTTTTAATTTCTTTTGAGAAAACATTCTCCTTAGAAACATGCCGATTAGGAGAGCAAATTTTACGAACTTTCCGTTAGCCATAATAAAAAAAAAAATTGCAGAAAAGGCTTCTCGGCCTTTCTGTCACTTCATTCCTGAGGTGTGTGTACCTCAGGCGTGTAGCGAAGGATGCTGTACTGGTTGCTTTTGAAAGTGGTTACTCTCCATTTTGCACCAGCAAGAGATTTACGTCTCTTATCTCTTATTGTAGGATATGCAGAAGTCAACTGTAGCACTGAGTAAACCAAACTTTTTTACAGTTCTCAGTTGCTGAAGTGACTTTCCTTCTTTTGCAGGAACCTTTCTAATCATGGATCATACTTCCTTGCAGCAAACTCAAGCTTATGCGGCTTAGCGGCAAATAACTTCTTCAGGAACATCCTGCACGTCCGAAGGGCTTCCTTCGTGACTGCTTTGCCAATGGCTGTTATTCCGTTTCTTTCAACAGCAGCTGTTTATGAAGTTTTTGTGCGTGAGCCTTTATTTTCAGGTAAAAACCTCATTATTCCTTGTTTTCGAAAAGGCTTTGCTTTCTGTGCACAATGTAACGCTAGGGGAGCTTTTCCTCTCTGCAGAACAGTGGTCTTGAGCTGTTGTGGTCTTGAAATACCTGAGTTTGTAAAGCAGGGTTTGACAAACAGATTATCTAATGCACTGGGCAGCAGTGAGTTCCTGAGGTTGAGTGGGAAAGGAGATACGTATGTTTATTTATATATGTTTATAAAAAAAATTTCTGTTACACATCACTGATTTTTAGCATTTTTCACTCAAAGTCGTGTAAAAGTGACTGCAACAAAGCAGTTTGGTTTCCCCCATCTGTATGATTTCATTTAAGGTCAACTTTAGAGTGAATAAATCCTTCAGGGGTTGGAATGAGAGTGATTTTTTTTTTTTTTTTTTTTTGCAAAAGGAAGAGTCCTTCTTTCAAACTTTGTTGCATACCTGTAGAGCTTGGCCATTTCTGTCAAGCGCCCGTTTCCGCGTTGTTGCGCGCAGCCTATACATGGATGTGGTGGAGCGATGCGGGTATTGACGGTGAAATACTGTTTGTCATGCAGGTGAGCTCAACTGCGAGGTCTGCGCTGTGGTCAGAGGAGGGCTGATAGGGGCTGTTGTGGGTGGTCTCTATCCCGTTCTCCTGGCTCTCCCCGTGAACGCGAGCCTCGCAGCCAGGTACGTTTATTAACCTGCAATGAGTGACATGTAGTTGTTGGTCAAATCTTCAGTTCTCAGTTTAAGTTCTGTGGATTTTTAGTCTATGCACACCTATCTACTTGTAGGCTTTTAGTACGTGGAAGGGGATTTACTTTAAGGTGATCTAATTACAAGGCAATGTTAGTAAGAGCTGCAGCAAGCCTCCAAAGTGAAACAAGATCTGCGAACTGAGAGGCTTTAAGCGCTTGTCTTTAGCTGGAACCTTACAAGCTGCCCACTGTGTGCCTGGGTATGGGAAATTGCGGCTGCCGTCCTGCCAAATATTTTTAATGACTTTAACGTTAAATCTTGATGCTTAAATTGCATGGAGAGGAAAAAAAAAAAGTAAGTTTCTACCACTGTTTATGTTGTTTAGGTATGCTTCATCGCCCTTGCCAGGGAAAGAAAATCTATTACGCTTCTGGCTCACAACTGCTCAGCCTGTCTTTAGAAAGATGAGTTTGGGTATACTTATCCAGGTTCTAACTGGATTATATCTTGCCACTAAACACCACGGAATATATGTCAAAATACTGCAGCAGATGAACGCTCGCAGGGACCCTGAAGAGTTACAAGCATGAAGTTAAGCAACTTCTCAATTGCCTTGGATAAGCAACCATAATAAAGAAAGAAAGAAGTTGTTGCTTGCTGTCTTTTTTAATAGAAAAACGAAGTTAAGGCTCTGCACCGGCGTTCTTTTCAGTTCTGAACTTAAATGCAAGTTAAGTTTTTCATTATGTCCAGCTTAGTGTATGCACCTGAATAACAGCTTTATAAGGACAGGTGGTTTTTCTTTGGAAATGGGGGGGAAAAAAGCATTTCTATTGCCTGCTTAGTGTTTGGCTCTAAGGTGATGCTACATCTTTTAGAAGCTGTATAAATTAGTATGATTGAAAAAGGAGTTTTTTCCTTCAGAATGCAAACGACAGTGATTTAAAAGAAGGTGGGGTGACACCAAGGTGAGGTTTTTCTAGAGATTCCTTGAAATCTGAGTATTTTTCTCCCTGAACTTTCCTCCATTCTGCTAGCACAGAATTTCTGTCTCAAGATTACCCCGTTTAGGCTGTTACAAGGGTCCCTCTATGCCCTGTCGAGAACACTTACCACGGAACAGTCAGGAGTGATGCTCATGTCAGACTTCCTGGCATACATACCTATATCTATATCTCTCTCCCAAGTGACCAAAAAAAAGCCTAGGCAGAACAAACCTGGTCCTTGCAACCAGTTTGCCTCGAAATTTGTCTTTTCCTGAAGCAAGGAACGGTGTTGGGAGGCCTCAAATGCCTGGTGCTCTTACTGTGGGACCTCGGCTACCTCTGGTTTTAGGATCAGCGGTCCAGAGTCATTCACTTCCGCGCCAGGCTTGTCTTCGCGTTGGCGACTCTATGTTCTAGAGCAATATACATTGCTAATTTTCCTACTGCATGAGGTATCTTTAGCGTATTCTGCAGTTTGAGAACTAAATCAGGATTTTTTTTCTACAGAAGCAATCATCTCAATCAGATGCGTGGTCTTAACTGTCCAACCTGTACGATTACTGGTCAGCAGTCATGCACGCTTCAGTAAAATTCCAGCATCCCCAGAGATGCACATGGAAATACTTACTAATGAGAATTAAGAATTCAGCATGGAGACCTTTAATTGAATTGGTTTAAAATTTATGCTCTAGCACTGCTGAAAAATGTATTAAAGGAGTTTCATCACGTTTATCTACTTTTTCCTAACAGATTTGTTGCTACGGCAGGAAAATCACGTGCTCTATTTCTCTATGACCAGGAGTAGCGGCCTGATTCGTGCAGGGAAGCAGCAAAGACAGGCTACCTCTGCAACAGTTCTTATGTAAAGTTAGCTTAGAATCATAGGTTAAGGTTGGAAAAGACCCTTAAGGTCATCGAGTCCAACCGTTAACCCAGCACTGCCAAGCCCA